CAAGGCAGAGGCGGCCACCACAGCGGCGGGGCCAAGCCCCTTGCACAAATTTCGTGCACTGGGCCTCTAGTATATCTATATCAAATCATTATGTTGTACACCTAAAACAATACAATGCTATGTCAATTATATCTCAATTTTAAAAAGAAATTAACAAGGGAAAAACACCCTTTCTATGCTCCAAAACAGAAGTTATTCATAGAATTATAGATGAACAAATCTTCTTCTGTTTAGAACACCTATTATTTTCTTTTACTAGTCAAATTATTCATCATTCCTAGTTTTCAATTTTGTTTTATTTTATAATCAGCTACTTTCTCATCTCAGTTACTGTGACATCCATTTATATTTGTAAGACTACAATCTAAGCTCAGACAGTAGTGAAGCTATTTGAAATGTGGTCAGTTATTTGCATTAAGAAAAGACAATTTTTTTATTTTTTATTTACTTATTTATTTATTTTGTATTTTCTTATATTTAAGCTTTACTTGTAGAGAGTGGGCTGCCTTCATTTATTGACACTGCTAGGTGCTGGGGACCTGGGTGTAATCCCTGCAGTCACTGAGGTTTTGTTTTTTTTGTGGGGGGGGGGGGGGGGGGTTTAAAAATATATTTTTATCAACTTCAGAGAGGAAGGGCGAGCCCCTACCCCCCAGTGTCTTGTGTCCATTGGTTATTCGAAAAGACAATTTTTTAAATGGCATGTTCAAAATGTGTGTAAATATCTTTAAGGAGCCACTACACATATAAAAATTGATAAATAAAAGATAATCTCAGGGGATAAAGAAAGAAGAACATGAACTTAGTACAGAAATCAGTGAAGAAAGATTCTCGGTGTTAAACAGAAGTAGCAGTAAGTTAGGACTCATATAAACAAACAGACCTGAACTGAGAAGCAGCAGATACAGTATTGCAGTTCTGGCTATGAAACATTTTTATGCATCTCAGATCCTTAGACCTCACCTGACTTTTCCTCCAGGGGCAGCAGAACAGACAACCCATCAACATCAAAGCCACTGCTGCTTTCACTACCCTCTTGCCTAGATGAGGACAACTGAACAGCTTCTGATGGCAAACTGAAGCTTAATGACCAAAGGCAGTGACGCTGTGGGGAGAAGTTGGGGAGAAATGCTGTCAAGTCTTGCTAAGAAACTTCCAACAACACAACAGAACAGAAACAGTGGTGGGCAGGACACATCCCCCAGCGTGGCTACCGTGAGACACATGGTTCCCGTGAGAAAAAGGAGCGACCCTGCACGCATTCGGGAGTCTGTACGGACTGCCAATGCATCCCGGTCCCTGCTATAGGCACATGGGATAGGACAGCACACAAAGTGGCTAAAGTCCCAGCTCTCAGAGAATTTCCATTCTGGTGAGGGATACCACCTGCACCAAATAATGCAGGGCGATAGGAACAGGGAACCTGCACCAAATAATGCAGGGCGATGTGAACAGGGAACCTGCACCAAATAATGCAGGACGATACCAACAGGGAATCTGCACCAATAATGCAGGGCGATACCAACAGGGAATCTGCACCAATAATGCAGGGCAATAGGAACAGGGAATGCGGAGAGGGGTTGGGAGGGAAGACGATTTCTCTATAAAATGCTCATGATTAGCTTCTCTTAAGGTGATATTTGAGCAGAGATCTGAAGGAAGAGGTGTGAGCAGCAAGGATAACCATTCCAGCTCCATGAAGGCAGGAACTTTGTCCTGGGGATTCTGACCTCTCTCTTTTAACCTTTGACCTTTTTTGAGAGACAGCATTGCAGAGGGTTGAGAGCAGATTGAGACTAGCTGTACTTGAATCTTGGCTCCTCCACATTCTTGCTATGTTACCTTAAGCGAGTCACTTAACCTCTCTGTGCGGCTGATTCATCATTTGTAAAATGGGGATTAAATGAGTTAATACATGTCAAAGTGCTTCGAGAACAATGCACATAGTACATGGCTAATTCGTATATCATGCTGCTCGTATTACTTTTGTCAATAAAAAACCCCACAACTATTAGGTTAAGAACACAGATTTTACAGGCATGTGAATTTAAGTTAGAATCCTGCTCTAACTGGGTATGTTCATTCAGTCATTCGACAAATACTCGCCGAGTGCCTGACAGCACTATTCTAAGGGCTGGGTTCCAGGAAGGAAAAGATAAGCAAACCCTCTGCTCTGGGGAGCTGCACTCCAGTGGGAGGGGACACACAGCACACAAGCACACAGACGGACAATTACATGTGGGGCAGCTGTTATAAAGGAAACCAGCCAGGTGAGCTCAGGGTGGGGAGTGACTTCACAAAGGGCAGTCAGGGGAGGTTCTCTGAGGAGGGAAGATCTGAAACCACGCGAAATCAGGAAGTCAAACCAGAGTCTGGGTAGAACAGTAGGTAAAAAAAAAAACCAAAACCTGAGGTAGAAAGTTTAGCATATTCCAGGGAGGGAGGGCGGGCGGGAGGCCACCAAGCTAGAGGAATAGCAAGGGACACGGGATGAAGAAAAGTCAGAGAACCAGCCAGGTGCTCTGCATGGGACTGGAATAGAGAAAAACAGCAATGGTACCTTCTCTAGAGCAACTTCTAAGGAGAGTTAACCAACCACATTGCCAGTGTAAAGCTGCACCTGCGACAGCCGCCACTCGGCGAGACATCGCGGCATGAAAAGGTGTGATAAGGAGATGTCATCTTCGTCAGGGAGGAGAGGAAGAGCGTCTGAAGACACTCAAAGGGGACCTAAAGGATGAGCAGCCGTTCACCAGAAGGGACTGGAAGGAAGAGCATTCCAAGTGGAGGGAAGAGCAGGCGCAAAGGCCCTGCTGGTGAGGGTAGGGGATGAAAAAGGCCAGACGCAGCTCAAATGGACAGAAGGAGAGGACGTGCTATCACACAGAGCCTGGGGGGGGGGGGGGGGGGGGGGGGGGGGGGGGGGGGGGGCAGGTCATGGAGGTGTGTAAGCAGCAGGTGACATACCTATTTGTCACTCTAACCGTGTGCAGGCTGAGCTGGGATGACAGGTGGGTCTGTAGAGTACGAGAGGCTGAAGTCATTAGTGCAAGGAACAGATGCTGACAGCTTGGACTAGGGTGTGGTGAGAAGTAGGTAGAATTTTTTTTTAAGGCAAAAGTTACAAGACTTAGTAAAGGCTTAAACAGGGAAAGTAAAAAAGGGGGAAGTTCCAAATATAACCTCTAGGTCTCAGCTGAGCGCATAGTGCAGCCTCATTGAGGCAGGAGTCACAGAAGTGTCCTTCCCTGGGATGGGACTGGGAGGTGGATCTTGAGCCCGTGAAGTTTGAGGGGCCTCAGGCATCTAAGAGGAGACGTGAAACAGGCAAGAGATATCAAGAACAGGAGCTCCCAGGGAAGACCTGGGCTCCTCTCACATGCAATCAAACTAGGAAGAGGACTTACCTCAACGGAAATGAGGGTTCAATGAGCAAATGCGTCTCACACAGCAGCTGGTCTACCCTAAGTCCTCAGTAAGTGGTGCTTTTAGCATTGGTGATGCTGGACCAGCTGCTGGCTAATGAACTGGCACAGGAACCGATGGCTATTCCCTGCACCCCTTTCCCCGATTCAGCTCGTTCACTAATAATGCCTCTTACCCTAAGTTCAATCCCATTTAAATGAAGTATTTCTATGGACTGGCGTGTGGCACTGAGCGACAAGCCAGGCGCGCAGTCCCTGCTCTGCACAAGCTGTGGGCTTGCCAGGCAGGACCCACCACACGGGCCTGCCCACCCCGTGCGCCGCCAGGTCACACTGTAACCAGCGATGCTGCAGGGAGCGCAGCTGGAGTCTGAGCACCGGGTCCTCCCGGGTCTCTACAAAGACCCACAGGAAGTCAACACACGCCCCATGCGGAGCGGACATTCCAGGGACAGGTGTAAGGAACGCTCTTAAACGCCTCTCATCTCAGCAGAAGGACCGTAACTGGCAACCGAGGCCAGGCCCGTGGCCATGACTCCAGGAGGAGATATAGAATCTGTACGGCCCAGACGGCGGGGACCAAGACGGTAGCCCATGGACCGCCCTACAGCGCACCCAGCAGCGCACCCACCCTGCGCCCTTCCCGGCTCAGCGGCCACTCGCCACAGTGACCATCTGAAATTCAAAAGGACGGAAATTGTGTAAAATTGAAGATTCAGCTCCTGTCACTCCAGCCACGTCTGAAGGGCTCCATGTGCCCGTCCTGCGCTCAGCTGGGTCCGAGCACACGCCCGGCGCCCCTTCCGCCCAGGCGTGGGGAGCACACCCCCGGACACAGCCTGGCCCTCGTGTAGGCGTCGCCTGCCTCCGGCGCAGGTGGCCCTCAGGTGGCGGGACCTTTCCCGTTAAACTCCCAGGAGCGACACAAACCCTCCGCCGGGAGTGGGGTCAGGGCCCTGTGACCCTGGAGCAGGTGACCCCTGGAGCAGGCGCCCCCCGGAGCAGGTGACCCCCCGGAGCAGGCGA